TATATATATATATATATATATAGGTACAGACGCAGAATTGCGATAGCAGGATGGCGCCATTAAATTGGTCGAGCATCATTATCAATCATTGTCAATCAGCGAGTCGAATAATTTAAATATAGAATCGGCCATTAATTAGTTGCCAGTTAACAGGCGTATAGGATACTGATATCGGGATTTACTTATTTCAAGATCGATATTTTCCGCGGCTCAGTACGAGTTTATAACCGTGGTCGAACGCGGAGTAGACACCGGTGTGCACATCCGCCGCAACGCGCCAGACAATTTCCGGCCGCGGTAAAGGTGTATTATATTCCTCGCAAATTCACAAGCCCAGCCAGTCGTTCTTTTTCGACGTTCACGGAAAAAAAAAAAAACAAAAATGCAAATGTCACCGGCAGGATTGAGCGACGTGAAAATAGACACGGACGTAGAACGATGTTGAACTTAAATAAGCACCTTGCTGACAAACAGCTTGCGTTATTAACCCGATAGGAGAATTTATCCTCATGAAATTATACGATAATTTGTGCTTTATTGCACCGTATGGAAAGCAGCGACATTAAACGTTCCATTTTTAAGTATTACGCACCTACGCGATATCGACACGATTTACCTTCGCGTGCTATACGTCGATAAATTCACTTTGGGCAACGGTTAATCTTAATAATTCATCGTTTCTTTTTTTTTTTTTTTTTTTTTTTGTTTTGTTTTGATACGCGTACTATCCAACGATCACGATAATGTGGTGAGAAAGAAACGGCACGCCGATTCGAATAATCGAATTTGGAATCTGTTGCAGGGCGATTACATCAGGCACCCGGTGTACGAACTGTCGAGCAAGTATGGAGTGGCTAGTAGTGACCAGGTGCCCTTGCCGGCTCGTCTCGATGAGCTCCGGGAGCACATACGCCGAGAAATACGCAAGGTATGTCGAGTTTCGCTTATCCTTCTCGGCGCTACGTCTCTTCCCCGAGAGCTCTCTTTTTCACCGTAGACCGCAATGTCGGACACGGTAGCGCGGCTCGCACGAGCACCGATCTCTTGCACGAGCAGAGCAGTGGATCCTTTCCTTCGCTCTGTAACGTGCATCTCTTTTCTTTTCCGTTTCTTCCCAGGTGAAGAACAGAGAAATCCGATATATGTGTCAGGCCACCGTCGATTCGTGGCACGCCCGTTGAAAACCGGCACGATGATCCACGTGACTAATGGACCCGGGCCAGAATTTATAGTTATTTGCAGGAGGGAGAA